GCCTGTACAAAGTCTAGCGTTTGCAAGTTGTTCTCTAGTCGCTTCTGAGGTCGCGCGTGACTTGGTATCGGCACGACGAGAGCTCGACGTCAGACAGTGCGGAACAGTTCGCTGATTGGCTGTGGGCAAACAAAGACACTGGGGCACGCGCGCGACTCGCGCAGTGGCTAACGGCCTAGCCGGATGCCGCTCGGTTGGTGAGAGGACTTGCTGACATTGCTTTAGATGAGTCGTATACGCCCTACCCGCTGCAGTAAACGTCACCCGACTTGTTCCCTCTGCCTTTTGATTTGGGAAACCTAGCGGACTCGACCATTGCACATCGCCAAGGTTACCTGTAGCGACATAGTTATCAGGCTAGTCCGCGGTTAGAAGCCAAGACGGCGGCCACCAGAATGGAGGATTTATTGTGCACAAGTAGCAAGGATTGCTGGCGAGTGCAAGGCGTGTCCTGGCGGTGCTTAGCCGCACCTGTGAAACGAGGGTGAGATGGCGGTGTCAGCTGCTTTTATCCACGTGTCAGAACCAGGTCGAGACTGTTTGAGTCCGATGGTGCCTGGTGTTGCATTATCAAAGGATTGGTGCGTTGAAGTACCTTCAGGTTGGGTATGGGTGGTTGTGTGTCTCAGCTAAAGTCGGTTGAGCGGTCGCATGCCAGCGTGCCTAGGACACGGCAATAGGAACTTTTTCTGGAACTTAGCGCAATGCCACCCGTACTCACAGGGTCGTTCCCATTCCCCTCCCTTTCCTACCTATTTGAGTGCAAAAGTGACTTAGCCTATCTGTGCAATGATGGCAGTCGACCAGAGTGGGGGTCAGTGAATCATTTTAAAAACCCCACAGGCGGACCGTGTCGAAGTTGTTTTAAATAAAAATGTGGTGTCACATCTGATCAGAGTGTGGATCAATTCAGCCATTGGTGCACATGCGCGTGGCAGGTGTTGGACGAAAGCTCACACCCCATCAGCCGCTACGCCCAGTCTCATCAACAATCGGTTGGACTCCGACAGACCGCTGCTTATGAGGGAAGTTAAAGATGGTGGAATTGATCCATTTGAGTTCAACGCCTAGATCCCTCACCATAAACAAGCAAATGTGCTTGGAAGGACTTGGAAGGTTGCCGGCTAAGTGTGGACTCATGCCCATTCAGGACTGAGGTTCAGGCCATACTGACTCCCCATGCAATGCGGCCGTTATGTCGCTCTTATTTGTATGATAGTGACCAGGTGGAAATGTGCGTGAAGTTACAGTAAGTGTGCTATCTCATGAAATGTTGGCTGGAATTCTGTAGTATGTTTGCCATTCGAAAAGACTACCCAAGTTGCAACATAATCCCAAGGTATTTCATTCATGCCACAATGTCGGCTTTTGAATGCACCTTCTTTCAGCCGGCAGCATGAACAGCACTCAATGAAAAGCGGCTACTTACGTAGTATGGACTTTTCACTTTGATATAACATGTCCTTACTAATTCAAATATATTTTATACTCATCTTTAGCAAGCTACATCTTCCTCAAATTTTATACTTGAAGGAAAAGCATCATCCGGTCAGAAGGGAACGTTTTCGATTCCTGAATAATCATAAACCCGACTTGTCATTTAGGATTTCCAAACTACAGGCTGTATACTTTTCATGTGATAATAGTAAATAAATTTAATGTCCTTTTGTAGGCATTGCCAAAACGATACTACATTGTCGTATTTTCAGTCCGATGACTACCTTAAGACATCTTGATCACCCTCACGCAACAGCCGCTGCGAGGTCTTTTTATTTCCCTCTCTGGCACGTACAAGTAAATATTGTTAGTTATTTTCTTTTAGCGTAAATGCTCCCCGCAGTAAGTAACCCCGGCCATAAACCATACCCTTTCCAAATCAACCCAGAATGAACTATTTCTACTATTAAACATAGTACCAACGTCGCACAACACTGTTCTTACCGTTCACGGCTAACACGGTGGTAACTACCCCACACGAAACACATGTGATAACTCCAGTTATCACAGGTAGGTTACAACTGAAACGTGACTATTTCCGAACCCCGCATAGCAACGCTATGCATGGCTAAGCTGTCAAATGTTTTTTCTCCGCTGTGTTTAGAAGCACATGGTGTTCGCGATTGGTTTAAAGGACGGTGGTTTCGAAAGTTTAAGTAAACCAGGTTTCTCAACAGCACTACTTCGGTTCGATGATCCCGTTTACGTTGCTTCAAGTTTTCTCAACCCGTTTCAGACGATGATCCCGTTTGCGCCCAGCAATGGGGATCTTCGCTGTGGGAAACGAATTGGTAAGATGTGGTTATTTAACCGCACCTGATGGACACAATACTGTTAGGTGTTGGGGTTAGGGCTGGCGGATAGGGTCAGGGGGGAGGGTTAGGAGTCAGGATTAGGGGCTGGGGTTAGGTGCTGGAGTTAGGGGTTAGGGCACCTATTTCGTACCACTCAAAGTACAACCGCGCATTCCCAATAGTTTTTCTTTTGCAAACAACTGCTTGACCTTGCCGGCTGTGCGTTCCCTGGACCCACCTGTTAAAACCCCTATTACCACCGATCCGGTATTACAGGTGACTGGGGTTTGTTTACTTCAGGTAGGGATACATAACCACATCGGACCAACGACTTTTGTCTGCATGGCATTGCAGCAGGATAGACACAATTCTGTGCGCCATCTGTTCCAGTTACAAGACTGAGTTGAAACGACCGAAGCAGATAAAAAGCTCGAGGACTGATCAGCCACGTCACAGCACTCACACCGCTGGGGCCCAGCGTAAAAAAACCAATTTAAATGGAGTCGTCGCAGCCTTTAGGTCATCATCAGCCAAACCATGATGGCGCATGCCCCCGTTATTTTGATCAGACTGTGAAAGGGGGTATTTTATTCCGTTCAAAGTCGTCTTCGCTGCCACCCGGCACCTCACTCAAACGAATGCGGGGCTTATTATTTTGTCATTCACGCTCTGCACCCAAAATACGCTTTACTTTTTAAGCGTCTCCCAAAATATTTAGAAAACCGCCTTATTTTTACTATTGATACATTTGGGCACGCGAAATAAATAATGGTAGGGGTCGGTTACGCTCTCCCGAGTGTAAGCGCAATGTTGGCATTGCAAGTAAAGCAAGCCGATGGAGGATGTTGAAATTGTTAGTCAGAAAGTAGTCAAAGCTAACGCGGAAAAGGTTAGTCTGATGTTTCAGATTAGAGGTAGGATTAGTCTTAGGGTTCTAGTTAGTGCCAGGCTGAGAATTCAGTTTAGGGTCAGGGTTTGCGTTAAGTTTGAGGGTTCCGGCTAGAGTTAGGGCTTAGACTTCGGTTACGGTTTGCGTTTTGTGTTGGAGGTGGGATTAGTGTTAGTGTAAGAGTTAGGATAGGGTTACAGTCAAGGCTAAGGTTAAGGCTAGGGTTGGGGTTTGGGTCACGGTTAAGGTTATGGTTAGGATTTGGGCCAGGGTTAAGTTTAGGCCTTGTTTCTGTACCGTGAATGGGGTCGTATACCGCATCCTTGCGCAGAAAAGAATAGCAGCTCAAGGTTAAAAGCCTGGATGTACTGGGGTTTGTGCTTCCTGGGTACGGATTCCGTGACAAAGGTGGGACACTCATTTTCTGTAGCCCTAGATACTCTGTCGCCCCGTCTGTACTAACTTTGACACCCTCGGCTATACCCCTGGCTTCAGCCTACTTAGAATCCCGTGACAAATCGGTCAACCTGACGAGGGTACTCGTGCCATGCACACATGGCCCCTTCACAAACGAAAGTGGCCTGTGCTTGGCTCCCAAAATGAACTCCGCTCCCAGTGGACTTCGGGAGGTAGGCTCCAGCCTTGACAAAAGAGCCTCGATTTCCACCTCTAATAACTCATGCGTATTATTTGACTGAAGATAGACATCAGGCCGTTATAATAAAGAGCGTAGCACAGAGAGTACAACTCAGGAGGGAACAGAGCTTATCGCTGGACCTTCGTATTTAGTGGTCTAGGCTTCACATCATCAAGATTTGCCTCTCAGAACTGGCAGTCATGGTCTGAAGAGTCCCCTGGTCGGTGCAGAGCGGACGTCAGTCAGACTTGACGAAGCAAATTGCGATTCGGGTTGTCGAAGTTATTCGACTCAACCAATCCCCCAATTGGTCGGGAGAATTGAGTTCCAGGCGCGGATCCGGGACGTAAATCTGCACAGCGCACGCCCGATTGGTTTTCGCTGGCATACAGTATGATGCATCGCATTGTATCAGTTATGTATTTGGCCAATGCCAACATTCTGACAGACAGTGGCAAGCTGCTCGGTGATCTTCCACACGCGGGATTTACAGAGACATTTTGCACCTGAAAGCTGAAGTGTTGACTCAATCAACAGTCTAGTCCGACTTTTTTCGGAAGGTCTGAATACCGTTCTTTTATATGACAGATGACTAAGACGGGTTCACGTGATCTCACGCATATGTTCGCCTCACTTACCCATTGTGCACATTTGGTTCTTGAGTGACGTTCATCTTCGATGTGTCAGCCATCTGGGCATCAGTGATCACCCCGGAAGGATGCCAAGAGGACCGTAAAATATCAGTCGATGGTAGGTATCTTCAAAAAGGTGGGTTCTAGGGACCTCCTGAAAATTCCTTTTCGGGAATGCATACAAGGTTGGAGGCTGTTACTGTCGGGCGAGAAGGAAAGAAGTGTTCTCGATCGTATAGACCGAGTACAAATTTACCCCGATAAGTGTACGCGTGAACGATTTATGCCCCTTGATTACATCCACGTCGACTGGAGTTGAGAGTTGGCCCTGCAAGTGGATCGTGGATTGGCAGGGGGGGGGGGGGTTATTTTGTATCGGACGAGCGTGAGTAGTCAGCGGGTGGCAGACAGAAGGTGTGTGACGCACCGAATAATGCGATTGAATGCCTGGTTGATAAATACGCCTACCTACACACTCTGTGGTCTCGAAGGCGTCCTGCCTTTGAAAAATGATGGGTGTAGTGGGGGTAGGGGGTAGGAGGGGACGTGAGATGGCTGCTGCTGCTGCTGCTGCTGCTGCTGCTGCTGCTGCTGCTGCTGCTGCTGCTGCTGCTGCTGCTGCTGCTGCTGCTGCTGCTGCTGCTGCTGCTGCTGCTGCTGCTGCTGCTGCTGCTGCTGCTGCTGCTGCTGCTGCTGCTGCTGCTGCTGCTGCTGCACATAAATTCACTCACCGGTCACCACTGTCCAGGCAGTAGTGGTTCCCGCGATGCCCCTAAAACGGACCGTGCGGTAGATGCGCAGGACCAACACTGGGGGGCTAGATAGGAGTCAGCAGGCGTTAGGGGGATCGCACACCCATATCGCATACCAGTCTTTGGGGTGTGTTGGCAGGCACGGGTGCGGACATATGCCACACCAAGTGTGATCCGAGGCGCCCAGCACTTTTTCTTGTGGTATGAAATCCTGGTCTGTGCATGTTGTGGACCACAGGGTGTGGTGGCACGCCTAGATGCGGGTTATCGCAGTGTCAGCCACCTGCATCCTTTCCCGCCTCCAGTCTTTATGATTCTGTTTTGACATCGAGTCCAGATGGGAGAGGAGGAGAGGGTTCGGTAGACGCTGCGCAAGTCTACCAATAAACCAACTCACGCGTATTTCACCGTCCCTGCTCCCACCTTGCTGCGGAGTACACGGTGGAGATTGTAGAAATTGACAGCCGATCTGTCGTTGATCGACACGAAGATGAGAGATGGACTACGCTGACTGGGTAGAACACAAGAGCTCCCCAATCCCACCCCCGACACACACGTGCGCCACACGTGGAAGTGTGTCAGACGTCATTCAGGCGAGCTGTCCGCTGTCGAACAAAGGTCCTGTTTTTGGTTGGACTTCGCAGCAGCCCACCATTTGTAGACCACAAGTGCGCGCACTCGGCCATCCTGCGACGGGTTGCGTACGAACGAGTGGGCGGACGGTCCGCAATGGTCAATCGTTGTAGCGAGTGCCCTTGTAGCAGTTCGCGTCTCCTCGCTCTCCGCCTTTGTCACGCTGCCCTCCTGTCCGCCTCACACTCCTTATCGATGCGCTGATGGGATGCGCGAGTGCTCGAAGCCAATCAACGCTGCCCCCACTCTGATTGGCTGGCGAGATTGAGACAACGAAGGGCGCACACACGCGCTGATACAACACCTCGAGGGCTGACGCGGACAACAGCTTGCTTGGAGCGCGCTTGCGGCGACTGCCCACACAGCCTTTGTGTACACGCTTTCCAAGCAGTAAAGTTTGTCCAACTCAAACCGTCTTCCCTGACTTTTGATTGGGAATCTTTATCTTGTCGACTACACCACTTCCGACAATTGGTGACTCCTTGCGAACAGCAATCCTTCTCCCTAATCTACGATAAAGTCAGGTGTTGATGATGGACACTTTTCCATCGGAAGTGCAGCATATTTTGGCACCCGCCTTCGGCATTCTTTCGGCCACGCAACTTACTCAGATGGCTGATCGGCTTATGGAGATGCACGGTTTTTCCAAGCCGTCTATTTCAGCCCTCTCAACTCCCTCAACTCCTCCTGCGTCTCCCATTTCGCAGTTAGAGATCGAGCTCAACAAGCTGGCCGATACTATAGCCGCTCTCCAGAAGCCCACAGTTTCTACCTCATCTCGGAGCCAACCGAAGCCATCCACCCCGCATGTCCAGTCTTCACATTCAGTCCGTCCAAACGCAGCTGCCACCTGCTGGTACCACACCACCTTTGGTGCTAAAGCCCGTCGCTGCGTCTCTCCTTGCTCCTTCACTTTCAAGCAGAGAAAACGGGTAAAACCGGTCAACCCGAAGGTCTGTGCAGCCAAACTTCCCGACAGCTCTAACCCTGGTTGCACATTTTACGTCCGCGACACCAGGAGTGGCAGACGTTTCTTGGTTGACACTGGTGCCCAGCTAAGTGTCATTCCACCCACACCAGCTGATCGTCGGTGTCCCAATCCCGGTCTTTTCCTACAGGCCGTCAACACATCGCC